GAAGGTTGTGTGGAAAAAATTGGGGATTACAACCAAAAATGTCTCTGTGGTTATATACCAGAGTCATAAGGCCGATGATAACCTACGGGTCGGTGGTATGGTGGCCAAAGACTCGGCAAGCTGGAGCCATTCGACAGCTCAATGGTATTCAAAGGCAAGCGTGCCTGATTACCACGGGAGCTCTGAGAACGACTCCAACAGCAGCTATAGAAGTCATGCTAAACCTAACACCACTACATATATTCATTTAAAACGAAGCCAGGTCTGTCACATACAGACTGCACAAAGGTTCATCGCCCATAAGCAGTTTGCATGGACGCGACTACAGCGAGCTATTTAAAGAGTTGGAGAAAGACCAAATAATGGGAATGCCTTCAGACGAAATGCTTCCAAAGTATAGCTTTCAAAAGCAATATAAAGTAAGTATACCAGGCAGGAAAGCGTGGACGGGAAGACCTCCCATTCAAGCAGATCTCACCCGGTATACAGACGGCTCCAAAACCCATGAAGGTTCAGGAGTAGGTATATATAGTACCAAGCCAAAGACAGGAATCTCACTGAGCTTAGGTAAACATGCGACAGTATTCCGGGCAGACATAGCAACAATACATCACTGCGCAAAAGAAGTATTAAGACAGAAGGTAAATGGAAAAACCATTGTCATATACTCAGACAGTCAAGCGACGTTAAAAGCACTCAGTTCCATGCAGGTACACTCAAATCTTGTGTGGGACTGTTTGGAAGTCCTAACAGAGCTGGGTAGTCAAAACAGACTAACCTTAGCCTGGGTACCAGGCCACAGAGGACACAAGGGCAATGAAGAGGCTGATTTACCCGAGAAGGAGCCTCAAATGCTCTTATTGGCCCAGAACCCTTCTGTGGGGTAACAAAAACAACTATCAGAACATGCACAAAGCAGTGGACGTTTAAAAAATCTTAGGAGTGGTGGAAAAACTCACCAGGACAGAGACAGGCCAAAAAGTTGTTAAAAGGACCATAGTCTAAACTCACCGAGCATCTCCTAAGCCTTAATAGGAAAAATACTAGAATACTAGTAGGTCTATTAACAGGGCATTGTAGGCTTAACGAACATATGTTTAATATCGGTCTGACAGAAGAGGCCTTGTGCCGATTCTGTCGAGAAGAAGAGGAAACGGCAGAACACGTATTGTGCTACTGCGAAGGTCTAGTAAGACTGAGATTTCTTACACTTGGAGAAGAAAAACCAAGGGCAACTAGCTATACCGGAGATTTACTTCCCAGTCTATGGAGTCTACTACAAAAGACCGAATTAGACAAGGTACTCTAAACAATGATTAAAGGATATCCACAATAGATCTGAAAAGGTCGAGGTGGAGGAGGCCACATGGCCCATAGTCCTAATTAAATATTAATCTTAATCTCTTAATCGTGGAAAAAGCCGTATACGACTGTAAAAGAAATTATTTATGTTCAACGGTTCAAGATATTGAGCTATTGGTTTGTTTCTTAATGTCAAGAAAGTTTGCCACGTAGGAAAAAATAAAAAGTCTTCTTCTTGACACGAAGAACATATCACAATAAAAATAAATCTGATAGTGTCAGAGTTTCATAAAATTCTACAAAAATAGGAATTTTTCAGAATTAATAGAGATGATTATATGTTATCAGCATCAACTTTCTAATGTTATTAGCCTTGCAAGAGAAGTTATTATTAAAAATTATTTTTAAAGTTAGCGGGAAAATTTGGAATGTTTATTTTTTTATAAAATTTTTACAAGGTTAAAGTAACATAGGGAAGCAAATAATAATAAATAACAAAATCAAAGCAACTGCATTGCTGGTGCCGAAACCTGACACACTACTTTCAACTTATGAGAAAGACACGAAAATACCAGATTAACGATATTGAGATTTCGATACCATCATTTCACATTTAACTATACGTAATATTCTAAAATTTCTAGCGCACAGAGCTACCACGTATTCTAGATATAAAAATAAGTTGATTGGATCCAATTTATAAATATACGAAAATGTTTCGTTAGTCCGTAAACAAAGTTCAAAGTTAACTTAAAAAATATCATTTTTGTACGCTGCTTGGAAATGTGTAGAACCAATTTTAATAAAATTTGATAAAAGTACATTTTAGAGGATTACCCTGCTTATAGTGACCACAGAAAACCTAATAACGTTGAAGACGGCTTAAACCCATCTTTATCTCTGGTATTTTGTTTTATTTTTTTAGGGTTAAAAATACAGTTCTAAGACTTTTTTGATGAGAAAGATCTCTTCATAATTCGCATCGTTTTGTAAGAAAAAATATTTTTTCTACACCTACAAGGATATGAGCTACTCTACGCGAAGATTAAAAAACAAAATCTGAAATACTTAACAGGTTAACTTTACTGCTATGAGTACCAAATGAGTTACAATGTTAACTTGCCATTTATGCTGCAACTCTCCTAAAGCGTGTTAACCCATAAGGGGTCAAAGATTTTTATTTATTATTTTAATAGCTTTTGTAAGAACGTTTTGGGGGTTAACCTGAGTACCTATGTTGGACCTCATGACCCCACGAGGGGTTTTTTCCTCATGGGGTCATGAGCGCCATCTCTGGTACACTCAATAAAATACTCTAATTCTGATATTTATCTACCTGCAGATTTCCATAAATTAAATTTGAGAATTATGTGTTGCTGACGATAGAGGTCCGTCCTATTAGTTAGTATTGGCCAATAAGAACATTTTTTGCCAGCGCTCCTTTTAGCAGTTAGTTTAGTTGTTGTTTGTTGTTGGTTTCCGTTACAGTCGCGAGTGTAAATTGTAATAATCGATTCCAAAGAAGAGAAGAGATTGCTGCATTTGTTTGAAACTGTAAAACCAGAAAGCGGATTATCGTCTGATTCAGAGGAGTTTCTTGACAGTGATGCGGATCCAGAGTATGAACCAGTGAAGATTCGCACAATGAATGAAAATAAAGTTTTGAAAAATGAAGAGTTAAATAATGAGCAGAAACCAACACCTGAGAATGTTGCCATATCTGACGATTGCCAAAGGCTTAAACATATAAATTATAGTACAAATTCCAAAAAAGTAGGCGTAAACCCCGATCTAATAGAAACAATGCAAGATGCCAGCTCTTTTGATTTCTTTTGTTTACTTTTTGATGAAGAAGTGGTATCCCTGTTGGTAAATCAAACAAAAAATTACGACCAACAATGTCTTCGAAGGCCCAATATAAAGAGAAGTGCAAGAATTAAACGCTAGGTACCTACAAATCGACAAGAAATGCATATCTTTTTAGGCATACTTATGTGGATGGGTTTGGTAGATATGCACTGTCTGGCTCATTACTGGAAAAACACACAGTTATATAATAGCAATTTGACAGACTAAATGGCTAGAAACCGATATGAGTTGATGTTGAGGTACCATTATAACATTTTATATTAGGTTTTAATTTCTAAAATATATACCTATTTATTTTTAGCATGTTTTATATTTCGGATAACTCAACACAGATCCCCGGAAATCGGCCCCTTATTAACTTGCTAGTGGATAAGTTTAATCACTGTGTAATTTTTAAAATGTCACTGTGCATAGATGAGTTCCTGGTACTATTTCAAGTTTTAGGCAGTACCTGCAAAATAAAAGGCATCGGTATGGTGTTAAAATTTTTAAGCTGTGCACCGACCCTTTGTTACACTTTGCAGTATAAAGTTTATGCTGAAAAGGAAGCTCAGCCTGGTACATCTGTATCCTCTAAAGTGGTCATGGAATTAATGGAGCCATATTTGTGTTTTGGGAGAACACTATATGCCGACAACTGGTATAATAGTGTCACTTTGGCAAAACAATTACTTGATAGGGAAAACTTTTTAGTAGGGACACTTTGGGCCAATAGAAAACGCAATCCAACTGATGTTATTAAAAATAAAAATAAAAAAAAGGTGATATTGTTGCAAGGCAAAATGATAATGGTGTAATGGTTTTAAAGTAGAAGGATCGGCGAGATGTCCTAGCTATAAGTTCAAAGCATATGCCTTCTATGGTAAATGTGACACAAAGAAGAGGAGACAAAATTAAACGACAGGTTATTGTAGAGTATAATGCAGAAAAATCTTTCATAGATGTATCGGATCAAATAAGTTCTTATAATTCATTTTCAAGGAGGTCATTGAAATGGTACCGAAAAGTTGCCTTTGAAATTTTACTAAATGTTGCCGTTGTAAATACCTCATCACTTTTTTTCCAAACTAACAAATAAAAACATAAAAATAACAGAATCTAGAGAGGCTATTATGCTTACTAAACGGGATTGTGTAATGACTGCTATTTTAAATGAACACAATTTAATAAAATGTCCAAAAATAAACCGCTGCAATCAATGTTATAAGGATATTGGTACCAGGCATTAAAGAAAAATAGCACAAAAGGACACTCGCCGTGATTGGACAAAGTGTTCTGCTTTCGCAAAATATTTGTGTTCTGAGTGTTTTTAAAAGCGCATGCTGCCAAATTACAATAATTTTTATTTATGAGCATTTATATTAACTTGTCTCCTTTTTCTTCGTACTATTTGTTAGCGTTACGCTACTATAAAAATAAATATTTAAGTTAAAAAAAGGGTTTTTATCACACTTTAATAAACTACCTTCTTAAAAAAGTATAATAACATCTAGCCAAGGGCTAAAATCATGGAACGGTTTTCTGAGGCCAAAACTTTAATTTTTTCATATAAAATATACAAGCCGAGCAACTGCTGAGGTGCACTGCATGCACTTTTGTAAGTGTTACCGAGTACCAAATTTGGCCCTCAATATTTGAATATATCTTCTGGATTAAATACCATATATAGTACTCAAATGACTCTTTGGTAATGCAGGGAAAGAGAGGCTGGCAGTCAACCTGTTAATAGTAAGAGCGTACCATATTTTAATGTACCAAAGACTCTGAAAACCTTTTAATGTTTTTTTTTTACAAAATAAGAAGAATAATGGAAAAAGCCCAATACTAACCTGTAATCAGTCCTGTTACTATTGCAACTGCTAATGTTACAACTAATCCAAGAGCTTGGTATCCGGCTTGCTCTCCTGAACTTCGAGGAGCAGTACTGTTGGATATTTTAAAATTAGGCATTCTAGCTGGATATATGTTGAAGAGATCGTTAGCATATTGATTCTCACTTGCTATGGCAGCCATTAGCACACTTAAAATACCTGAAAATACTCCTGGCATTCCATGCAAGTTATGAACTCCGCAAGTATCGGGCACTCCCAAGGTATTTTCAATCCGTGGCTGGAAAATAAATTTGTTAAAATAAAAATAAGTTTTTGTTTGATTTTATTATTTGGACAAGGTAAAATTAATTTTAACATATGAATAAGAATGATTATATTAGTGCGATTGGAAAACTTGCACAAAGAAGCGCTAAACTAATTACCGCCATTTAAAATAGCGCATTTTAAATTGGCGCGTATCAAAACAATGCCCAAATGAAATAGCGCTATTAAAAATAGCGTCAGTCAAAACAACGCCCGAAAAAAATATGTTTCTAATGCTTTTTGTATAATGTAAATTGACCTCAACTGACTTTTTTATTGTCAATTTTCTATATAATATCAAAATGTACGTTCCTTTATATGTAGTTTAAGAGTATAAATCTTAATTACCTTGACAAATTAAAAGATTTTTAAAAAAATTATTAATTTATATTTAAAATGTATTCGCAAGAGAAAAAGAATGAATCGTCAAACAACTCCTGAAGTCCCCACCCAAATTGAAACACTCCTCCCTTAAGAAAATCCCGATAAACACACAGAAAATTCATCAAACACACAAAACACAAACATTACTAAAAAAGATCCCACACCTCCACCAATCTATATTTATGGAGTTACTGACTACGGTGCCATGATAGCAAACCTTACAGCTGCAACTGCAACTACACTCTCAAATAATACAGTGTAAAAATAAATCCTACAAATCCAGACACCTACCGAAAACTGATTCGATTTATCACCTTAGAAATAAAAACATTGTACACCACACCTACCAACCCAAAGAAGAGGGGGCTTATAGAATTGTCATAAGAGGATTTTACCATTCAATACCAACCGAAGATATCTCGAACGAATTAAACAATAAGGGTTTTAAAGTAAGCAATATAATTAATGTCGGACACAGAGTTAGTAAAGAACAGCTACCACTATTCTTTGTAGATATAGAACCAGATGAAAACACAAAAGACATGTTTAACCTAAAAGACCTACAACACTGTAAAATAACAGTGGAACCACCAAGAATAAAAAATACAATAGTTCAATGCACTAAATGCCTAAAATACGGGCATTTAAAATCTTACTGCATTCTCTTGTGTTAAATGCGGAGGTGCACATGACACAAAAGCCTGTAAAAAAACACGCGACACACCTGCAACATGTGCCTTATGCAAAGGCAACCATCCACCTAACTATAAAGGGTGTGCTATATAAAGACCTAATAAACTCCAAAAACAAGAATATAACAAATAGCATTTACAGACCTAGAACTAACACTTCAAATAACCCTAATGTCCAAACACAGCAATCACACACAACATGTGCTCATGCAGCAGAAGCAGCAGCAGCAGCAGCAGCAGCTGCAGCAGCAGCAGCAGCAGCAGCAGCAGCAGCAGCAGCAGCAGCAGCAATAGCAGCAGCAGCAGCAAATAACTCAAACATTCCACCAAATACTCTCCCTCAAGCAAACAATAATTCAGACATGTTAAACAAACTAGCAGAATTTCTTAATTAATTTAAAAATAGGTTTGGACATTTAATAAATTAAAATAGCATGATCTTAAGCATGCTCACAACCGTGATAAATAGAACATCTTAATGGCTAACTCACTAAGAATAGCCGAATGGAACGCAAATGGTTTAACAAACCATGTGCAAGAAATCACACTATTTTTAAAACTAAACAAAATAGACATCCTACTCATCTCTGAGAGTCACACAACCAAGAGGTCTTTCATTAAAATCCCGTATTACTCTGTTGACTACGCCAACAATCCGGATGGAACAGCCCATGCTGTCTCAGCTATATTAATTCGAACAGCTATAAAACACTATTAATTTCCACAATACATTACCAACAAAATTCAGAGCACTATTATTAAAGTGAATGTGCTCACTAGTCCATTAGTAGTAGCTTCAATCTACTGCGCCACTCCATCAATCTTGAGATTTACAGAGGGTTCTTTGGTCAACTTCGATCTCATTTTCTAGTAGCAGGTGACTGGAACCCCAAACACACAATCTGGGGAGCAAGACTCATAACCCCAAAAGGCAGAACTCTACTAAAAATAATTCAAGAAAACAACCAAAAATACTTATCAACAGGTACCCCCACATACTGGCCTACCAATAACAATAAAATTCCTGACTTACTAGACTTCGCCATAACTAAAGGTGTATTTCAAATACACAGCAACATCACCCCCAGTTTCGATTTACACTCGGATCACAGTCCTATCATAATAACCTTAAGTACTAGTATAATTTGGAAAACACCTGCACCAAGGCTCTGCTCCAGAAACACAAATTGGAATCAGTTTTATGATAAAATCAATGAAAAAATATCTCTAGACATACGACTCAAAGACAAAAATGACATTGAAGAAGCTGTAAAATACCTAACAGAACAAATTTATCGGTTGTAAGCAGGTTAGGTTTGGCCCAGAACACTGCGGCCTCTTGGGTCTATTGTATTCTCCTGCTTTCCCCCGTATTCAAGTACTATCTTTGAAATAGTCCTGTGTCTTTAATTTGTTTTAATAGATTCCTTACCAAGTGTTCCTGGGGCGTTCTTTCCGGTTCTAGGCCGAAAAGGATAAAACGTCACCTAGTAAGAGCTTCGCATTCTGGCCTTCCCCTTTATGACTAGGTCAAGGGGTGGGAGATTTAGAATGATTTCTATAGAGGCTGTCGGTGTACTTCTCAGTGCTCCTGTAATACAAAAGCATACCAACCTCTGTACTCTTGAGAGGGTATTGAGGGCTGTTTTCTGGTTTACTTTTGGCCACCAAACAACCGCTCCATAAGTTATCATGGGTCTTGTTATTGCCAAATATAGCCAGTGGACCATTTTTGGTTTTAATCCTCATGTTTTTCCAAATGCCCGTTTTCCTACCATGAGAGACATTTTACATTTGTTGGTCACTTTTTGTAAGTGTTGGTTTCAAGTAAGTTTGCTATCTAGGATCAGACCCAAATATTTCACTTGGTTCATTTTTTTTAGCCTTCCTCCAAACAGAGTTGGAGTTTCTAAAACCTCCAACCTTGATTCTTGAGTAAAGGTTATGAGTTGTGCCTTGTCAGGGTTTACCAAGAGGTTTTCCCTAACGCATCACATTTCTGTCAGCCTATGAGCTCTTTGCATGAGTTCAAAGACTGCGGTTTGGTGTTTCCGTCGGATAAAAATGACTTTGTCATCGATATATCCTTGGACGAACAGCCCTTGATTGTTTAGTGTTTTTAGCAGTTCATCTGCCACTAGGTTCCAAAATAAAGGAGAAAGGACTTCACCCTCTGGGCATTTCCTGTGGATATTTATCTGCATGGTTTCATTAATCATTTGTGCCTGTACTTGCCGTCCGCCTAACATGTCTTCTATCCACCAGCAGATGGTGTCTTTTATTCTATGTTTGCGAGCGGCAGCTACCATTAATTTAAAGAAGGTATTATCAAAAGCTCCTTCTATGTCAAGAAATGCTTGGCTACTGTTCTTCCTTTATCTTGGTTACAAGATGATGCAGACAGACTCACAAGATATTCCTGATTGATGGGCATGTTGATTTGTATGAAATAGCCTCTCTATCAGAGTGGTTTACCGGACATGCTGATTAATCAGTTTTTCCAATCCTTTTAATAGAAATGACGTCAGAGTAATTGGTCTATAGGTCTTTGCCACGGCATACGTTGGACGCCCCGGTTTAGGTATAAAGACAACTCTGCTTTGTTTCCAGGAATTTGGTACATGTTTATGCACCAAACTTGTCCTGTAGAACCTACAAATATGCGGGGCCAGCGTTTCTATTGTCTGTTGCAAAAGCACAGGTAGTACCCCATCTGGTCCCGGTAGTTTGTATGGATTGAAGGTGCGTATTGCCCATGTTACTTTCTCTGTTATAACTACTTGTTTAGCAGTTACCCACGCCTGGCTGGAGAATTTTTTTTAAGAGTTCCAGTTCGTGTGAGTTTAGTTTGCTTACCTTACGACATGCCAACAATGATATATCATCCACCAATAGTTTTTCATAGCTAAGTTGCTCTTATCCTGTTGATTCTTGTGCCTACGTCTCCGAAAACTGTCACACATGGGAAACTGCTAGACCAAATATCACCAGTTCCTGTTTCGACTGAGGTAAAAAAGATAAAGAGATGTGGACGCCAGCTCACCGAGGTTCTCAATACACCAGAAAATATTAAGGCTGTTAAGAATAAGAAGCATCCAATGGTAGCCAAAGCAAAAATAGTTCCTCTGAAAAAACAAAATAATACTCCTAAAAAGGGAAAGCGCCCATTAAGGAGAACAAAAGTACATACTTCTGACTCCTCTGACAGCCCCGTATATGATGATGAGAGTAGTGATGGCGAAAAAGAAAACAATACAAAGTGCGTAGGTTTTGGCGAGGAATTTTTGATAACAAAAAAGAAAGATGAATAGCTATGCTGCATTATTTGTAAAGGTTGGACTAATGAGGGATGTACTGGTTTAGCTAATATGTGCGCTAAATGTGGAAAAATTGCTGCAAACAAGCAAATTCTCGCTTGTTCGGACGTTCAGACTTTTACTAAAAATATTGAAATTTTCAAAAAAGTGGTTCAACTCTCCCTGACTTATCCTACAGTTCACTTGTATCTACCTATAATAAATGTTATAAGTAATCATTTTAAACCCAATTTTGTTTTATAAATATCGTTTATTAAATTTGAATAAAAAATAGAATTAATTTTTTGTAAAATAAAATTTTGTTTGAGTAAAATTTTCTTTAAATTTGTCATTGACATAATATTTACACAACAATCCTTTGGAATCTGATAAAAAAACTATTTGATACGTCCATGGAGATCACAGCTGTCAAAAGTTTATAGTTACTGACCTCAAACAAAGCCTTAAACTTATCTATATTTCATTTGTTTATCTGAGGTAAATAACTAAATTGAAATGTCAGACAAAATTTAAATTTTCCATTGATATTAATGCCAATTATTACATTATCATTAACAAAAACTAGTTTAATGCAGTGAAAGCATTCCTTCTTTAAAGACTTGAATACCAAAATATTCCTATTTTATATAGACACTGGATATACTTGTAATAATTTTATTATATACTTATTTCACTTACTGATAATCGGGCGTATCCATAAACCGAAACAAATCCAGCGAGAATTCCCACAACAATCGCTCCCACAGGCAGCAACACAAGGTTAGCAGCTGCTCCTACTGCAACGCCACCTGCCAGAGTGGAATTCTGGATGTGAACCATATCAAATTTTCGTTCAGGAGAGAGCAATGAAGACATTGCAAATGCCGTCAACGTACAAGAAGCAAGTGCTAAATAGGTGTTTATAATGGCTCGTCGCTGTTCATCTCCTGATAGTTCAATGGCATTGAAACTTGGCCAATAAAGCCATAAAAATACAGTTCCTGAAATAAAAAGGTATATTTTTTTTATTATCTGTATATAGATAAGGAAAGTATATGAATCATGTGACATAAAAGTTGTTTGTAATATAATTTTCTACAATTTTTATATTATACATAATTTCTATAAAATGGACCGTATTCTATATATTTGAGAAAATGTGTAAATTTCAAATTATGAAGAAAACTCAAAAACGGATAAAGAAAAAAACATTAAATTTTAAACTTAAGTTTCATTTCGGCCTGATGTGAAATTATTAGATTTTGGACAAAGTCGGAACATCTGGGGGGTACTTTATGGGAGGCCGTTTTTATATTTTATGGAATATATCTGTTATTTAAGTTTGGAGAAGAAAATTGTTCAAATAAAAGTTACTTCTAATATTATTATCTATAAATTTTGTTTTATGTCAAATTTTTCTGAAATGGTCCATATTCGAGAAATTTCACAAAATGTGCAAAATTATGATTTTTAAGAAAATTGTTGAACTAAAAGTTGTTTGCGATATCGATCTCTATAATTTTTGTTTATACATTATTTTTCTAAACTGGACCGTAAATTGGAGGAAAAGTTCTAAATTTAAATTTTTCAGTATTTTCGTTCTCGATGAATATCTATAGATAGTGTAATGAAGTCAATTTTCATTACTATATTTCGGCCTATTCCGGATATAAATTTTAATTTTTATTTTATTTTAACTTCATGGGTAGACCCTGTATATCAAATTTTGTTTCATTTAAATTCGCGTATTATACCTGAGTAACGATAGCGCGCGCGATCCGCGCACATCAAGTGGGGAGCTAGCCTGCTTGGGCATAGACTCGGATTTGATTATTAACAGAGACAATCCAGCGAGACGTGTAACTCAATGTATTTTTTTTGTTCGGTAAAACTTATTTGGGCGATTGTAACCACAACCAGTCTATGATGGCGCCACTAGTAAATAGCGGGAAAATTAAAAATGCTTTAGGGCGGGAAATTCAAACATGGATTCAGAAATCGTTTTTGTATACAACAAATTTACAAGAGAAACAAAAACTGTTTCACTGTTTATTAAAAAATATAAAAGCTTCCAATATCATCAATTTTTTATCATATAAATAATCATTTTAATAAAGGAAGTTTTAATCAGTTTAATATAAGCAGTGAACATAGTTTTTATTACTCTTGTAAATTTCGCTAAAAAAACTTGAAAATTCTATTGATTATTAAATATTTAAACTTGGAAAAATAATACACCAAACTCTTTTTCTATAAATTATATTTTTTTAAGGTACAGAAAAACAAACTACAATTGCTATGTTTAGAAAGTACCTCCTATCATTTTGTGACAAATTACAAAGAAAGTAACAGTTGTTATATATTCATAATATATTTAAAAACTAATGTAACAAATATTTTATAAAGCATAGAGTATATCGATACCTTTTTGCCAGACTATCATAAGTGCCATTTAAACAAATGTCGCTTATGTTAGTCTGGCAAAAAGGTATCGATATGTTATGACTGTTTATTTTAATAGAAACCATGGAAATGAAACAAACACACATACACTCAACACAAATGTATAAGGCCTGAGTCGAGTTCCCATCCTGTAAACTGGATCGAAACCTGCTAGACCCATTCCGTACAACCCCTGCTAACTCTTCTTAGGGTAATCAAGATCAATAGATTTATATGTCATGCCTTCTAAAATGGAATGAAGGATGACATACTATCATTTAAACAGGACGTTGCTGAAGGCTTACCCCTGTTATTTTGTTTGTTTGTGTATCTTGTGTGTGTGCATTCCTGTTGTGTCCCCAGTCATGTAAAAGTTTTCCTAGTCTCCTAATTTGGTTACTAGGTGGACCTTCTCCAACTAGTAGTCTAATCTTTTCGATCTGTTCTGCAGCAGGAGGTACTTTTCAAACATAGCAAATAATATTATTAATAATAAACACTATTTAAAGATAAATACATTTTGGTAATTTTTTTGTCATTGCCCCTTACCTTTCTCTTACACCACCAGGGTATACCTATTTTACATATTCCCTTAATTATAGATTACCTTACAATGTTCGAATTAATATAACATTTTACTCATGAAAAATCTAATTTCATATTTAACTCTTTTTCAATTTCATTTGAAACAATAATTGGTACCTATATTACAATTTATTATGAAAGAAAATTTCTAATAAAGTTATAGCAAATCCTACTTAAACTACTGGTTGTTCTGCAGGATAAATTAACTTTTCTTGAGATTGATCTCTCTATAAAATCCAAAACCGACCTGATGTCCCCAAATTTATTTTCCAATGCATCCTGATTTAAAATTCTGCCGTTTTGTGATTCAATTTTTTTTTCTTCCTTTAGAGTGGCTGTTAGAGGTAGGTGTATGTAAGAAATAGCTAATCTCTAATCATTTCAAAAGTCCTTTGCCAATACTACATGTGCAGATTTTTTACTCAGCATACATTTAACTTTTCTAGTAGATAGGAACTTTGTGCTGCCATTAAAGCTGTCCAGACATTCATCTACCTACTTAATGAACACAAGTAGCTGTAACAATGGATCTCTGTTCCAATTCACCTAAAATAATTATAGTCATTGTGTAATATATTATTAAACACACACATTATACACACATACATAATAAATTGGAAATTAATTACCTCTAGAAAGAAATGTATACAAAAACGCGAGTTTGGTTCCAGAAATTGCTTCATGCAAAAAATAATATGCAAAAATAAACATTCCCCCCCAAATAAAAATAATTAAACAACAAAATCAGACTAAAAGAAATATACGGGGCCCAAATTAAATTAATTTTAATAAAATGCACATGTTCATAACATTCATAACATTGTCAGTTGTCAGTTTTAATACTTTTTAATCGATATTTCGACGTCAAAAAACCAGCAACACCAGCGCCCTCTGAAAATGGTGTTAGTTTTATTGGAGAGAGATAGACTTATGTAAAGATCAATATAAAAGAAAAAGAGGGTCATATATGTAATTTAAATGGACCACCGAACATATTTTCCTATTAAGTTACACGTCTCTGTTGTCTCTGTTATTAAAAATGATTCTATTCACTTTACTGATTCGACTAGCTTGCATTAATTTTTCGCTGTAAAATCATCGCCGATACCGTAGTTAGGTACACCGAATTTGTTTACATTTTTTTTTGTCGACGGTTCTTGAGTTAAAACGTTCGAATACCGGTTTCATTTGAAATAATTATTCCGTTTTCGATTTTATTTAATAGAAATAATAATTGATTTCAGATTTTCGTTAAAAATATTTTGATTTACAGATAAATTATTTAGTTTTGATTTTATTTAGAAACATTGGAAATTAGTTTTGGTTATTAGGAAATAGAAACTTTGTTTCTATTTTATTAATTAATTAATTTTATTACGACCGTGAATTGTGTTTCTATTTTACAGTAATAGTAAACCTAATTTCAAATTAAATTCCGTATACAGTTGATTAGTAAATTTTCATTGCGACCGTGGATTTTGTTCCTAATTTTTTTTAGTAATAATAAATTTAAATTTAAATTAAATTCCGTACATAGTTAATTACTTAACTTTTACTACGACCGTAAATTTTGTTTCTATTTATTCACAATCTGGTTTAACTTTTTTTTTATGTTTCTTTACTTGGGAATAGAATTAGTTCGAAAGTTGGAAAGTTGAAATAGTATCATTTTTCATGTCGAGTGGACTGGTTGTGGCGAGAAAGCTCACATGGGATTAGATACTATCCCGGTTTTAGATTTTATTTAGATTAACCCCTATCCGTGATTAACATATTAGTGTTTTTCTTATGTTTGAGGGGGCTGGTTTTGGCGAGTACACTCATCATAGGATAAATACTGACCCGGTTTGATATTTTGTTTTGTGTTTGAGTGGGCTGGTTGTGGCGAGTACACTCATCATAGGATTAAATACTAACCCGGATTTTGATTATTTTCTTTTAGTTACCTCCGCGCCGTGATTAAAATGATAGTATCATTTTTATGTTGAGCGTGCTGGTTGTGGCGAGTGCACTCCTCATAGGATTGATACTATCCCGTTTGCTTATCATTTATCTATTCCCCATTCACTAAAACAAGGAGGGTGGTTTCAGTTTCAATACCGACTAGAGAGTTAACCAGATAACTTTTTCTACGACCGTGATTTTTATTTTTTTTTACGAAACAAAATATTTAACTTTAATCTTTATGCCGATTTAAGAGTTAACTAATTAACTTTTGCTACGACCGCCATTATTTGTTTTTGGTTTCGTTTTGGCTCAACCACCGATCCGACAAATTTATTAATTAGATACTATTGCCACCGAGCATCTTTCTTCTAATTTTAATTCTACCGTCTGATTGAGACTAATCATTACTGGCCGATCTGTTTGTTTTTTATTTTGTTCAGGGTTTTAAAATTACGAGCGGGGGTGGGCGTTGAAATAATACTTAATTTTTTTTTTATTGTAAATAGTTAAAAATTCAATATATGTGTCAACGTTACCTTGACTGTTACTGAAGTTACTGGACCCTAATTTACTTCCCCCTTTATTTCAGCAGTGAGAAATTCTTTATCACCACAAGCAACGATTAAAGCCCGTTACTTGTGGTTACTTATTACCTGTGTCTGAGTGACCAACGACCCCTGGAATTTTTCATCTCCATCTGTGCTGCCCGAGTACTTTCGACGTCGTTTCGAAAGTTTGTGGAGTAAACCACACATCAAATCTGGCGCCCGAGAGCCGTCCCGTCAACAGGCGTCATTTGTAAGTAATCGTTTTCTCTGAGGCGAGAAAACCCCTTACATATGTTGGACACATCAGATTTTTATTAAAAAAAATTTATACAGGGTGTGTCATGTAACAATGGCCAATACCAACTTTCTTATTTTGAATGCAATACCCTGTATATTTTTCAATTTTTAGAAAATTCTAGACATATTTTATGTCCTATGTCCTACACCTAATTGTTACGGAAATAACAAAACCTAGCTGA